GGCCGGGGCGCATCCGTGGGCCGGCGTCGCCAGCAGCGGCCCCGTCCTTCCCGCGCTCCACCTGCTGCAGCCGATTCCCGGGAATGTCCGGCTCCCTCCCTGGGCCCGTGCCGCCCGGCAGGACGCTGCACCCGCGACACGGCGGCTGCTCCCGGGCGCGGGGAGCAGAGCTGCGCCCGGGGCCCACTGCTCTCCTCAGCCCCCCTGCGCGTGGCGCAGGACCAGCCCTTCAGCTCCAACCCCCTGGAGAAGGAGCCGGCTCCCGGCCAGCCCCGGCAGCCACCGCGACGCCGGCGTCAGGGGCTCTGGGCACTCTGGGACGGTGCCGGCGTCTCCGGGCTCCCCCGCGGGCTCCCAGGCGCCGCTGCAGCCCCGGCCTGCAGCTGCTTGAGGTGCTGGTGCAGCAGGGCCACGAGGAGCAGGGAGCCGCGCTGGAGCAGGGAGCTCGTCCGGGAGGGCAGCAGGGCCAGGGCACCCACCGTCTGCCCCTGCGAGGCCTCCAGCAAGGGCAGCTTGGCAAAGTTCTCCACCCCTTTCCTGCTCAGGATGGTGTCGTCGATGCAGGCGCCTGGAAAAGAGGAGCAGACTCCGCTGGGGAGGAGCAGYTGCCGGAGAGACCCCGGATCCAGAGGCTTTTGCCTCCTGCAGGCGCCTCGAGAAAGACTCATGGGTGTCAAAGCTGCAAGCACAAGACGCTCRGGGAACACTCGCTGCAGCAGCAGGGCACAGACACAACCCCGCGAGGCGCCCGACGCCGCGGGGACCCCGCGGGACGGGGAGGCTCTCACCCAGCAGGCTGATCTGCGGGACGCTCTTCAGCACCCGCAGCATCTCCTTCGCCTTGGCCTCCGGGCTCACCAGCACCACGTTGCGCCCCACGAAGAGCGGGAGCAGGTTCCTGTACTTGGACTGGGACAGCACGGGCCTGACGACCTGCGCGGGGAAGGGAGCGGGGCCGTGTGGGCGCCGCGCGGAGCCGCCCGCGCCGCCTGCGCYGCCCGCGCCGCCCGCACCTCGTTCAGGAAGAACTTGACCTCGATGTTGTGGCGGCGCAGGTAGTGCCGCGCCAGCGCCACGTCCTCGGCGGCCAGCGGGCTGTACTGGCACACGGCGATCATCCTGTTGTCGCGGAAGGCCTCGGCCACCTGCCGCCGCAGCAGCCGCGCGTAGCCGTCGTCCTGCGGGCGCCAGCGCGGCCGTCACCGCCACGAGAGCCGCGGCGCCCGTCACAGGGACGCGGGGGGGTCCCCGGCACAGAGGGGCCGGGCCGCAGCGGGGCGCGGGGGCCGCCCCCGGAGCCGCCCCGGGCCCGTTACCTCCTCGCCCGCTGCCTCGGCGCGGGGCAGGCAGCGCGGCGGGACGGGCGGCCGCGGCGCCACGTACTCGGTGACGGCCATGAGCTTCTGCCGCTGGAAGTGCATGGCCTTCCAGTGGCGGGTGACGGCCTTGGAGGCGCGGCGCGCGAGCTGCAGCGCGGGCGGCCAGCCTGCGGGCGGCGCGGCACGCGCGGAACGGGTCACCGCGAGCGCAGCACGCGCCGGCTGCCCCCTCACCCAACACCCGCCTGGGCGCGGCCCGGGAGTCGCTCCCGCTCCCCCCCGCCCCGCGGGAACCGGAGACCCCGGCGGAGGGGGGGGGCCTCACCCCGCCGCCATCGCCCGCCGCCGCTGAGCGCCGCCATCTTGCCCGCGCAAGGCCTTGTGGGGAGGCGGGAGGCCCCGCGCGCGGCGGTGCGCGTGCGCGGAGGGAGCGCGGGAGCCCGCGCCGCCCCGCCCCTTCCGGTGCGGCCGGGTCTCCTAGCAACAGGGACGCCGCGGCCTGGTCCGCCGCCCGGAACGTCCGCGCCCGGCGCGGGGTTCCCGCCCCCCCCCGCCCCCCCCAGCCCCAGTTCTCCCCAACCTGGCTGTCCCCCGGCCCAGTCACTCCCAGTTTGGGGGTCCTGGATCCCCAAGAGCCAGCCCCAGCCCCCTGCTGTCTAGGGCACTCAGTGCTCCTTAGCCCCGGGCGTCTCCGCGGCCCCTTATTCCCAATCGCTCCCAGTCTGGGTGTCCCGGTGCCCCCAGCCCAGGCACCCGGCCCCAATTCCCTCAGCAGCCCGGCCRCCCCCAAGGACCTGAGGAGGGGGCGCGGGGATCCAGGTGCCCCCATGGCCGGGCTGGAGGAGCCCCTGCCCCGGGGTGCGTGGGTCGCTGTGGGGCTGGGCGGCTCGTGGGGCCGGGGGTGGCCGCTGGGCTCGGGCCCTGCTGGACGGGCCCCGGTTCTGTGGCTCCCAACATGGACTCGGGGCTTCTCGCAGGCCCGGAGCAGCCGGCCCCGGGGGTGACCCTCACCGAGAGCCTGGTGGCCAGGAGGAACCTGCCCCGGGCAGCGGAGACCCAGAGCGCCCGGAGCCGGTGAGGCTGCGACCGGGACCGGGCAGCGGCGCCGGCGGCACCGGCGCTCCCGGGAACCTCTCTCCACGCAGGTCCGCGGCGCTCACGGCCCTCGGCACCATCCGCCTGGATCGGGAGAACATCTGCGCCATCGGGGAGCTGCAGGGCCTGCGGGAGGTCCACAGCCTCTACCTGCAGCAGGTGGGATCCCGCGCGAGGGGCGCTTGGCTCTGGGTGAACACAGCAGACCGGCGGCTGAGATCGAGGAAAAGCCCATGGAGCTGCAATCCCTGGGCCAGCGGTTCCTCCAACAGCCGCGCTGGCCACGGACACTGCTGCCCTCAGGGCCTGTCCCTACCGAACCAGGGGACAGCGGTTGTGAAAACAGCGGGGGCTCTGCAGTGCTCTTTAAGCCGTCACAGGGAGGTTTGGGGCCGTTCTGCGCCCTGCTGGGCYCCCCGGCACCCTCTCTGTAGGGCTGCCGTGGAGGTTGAGGGTCTTGGGTTGCTCCCGTGTCCCTGGAGGGACCCGGGCTTGGAGGGACTTCTCCAAGTGTGTCCTTCCGGGCACCAGAGAACTCGCTCGTCTCTCCTTTYGCAGAACAGGATCGAGCGCATTGAGAACCTGAGCTGCCTTCCCCAGCTGCGGTACGTGCGGCAGCTGCCCCGGCAGAGGCTCCCCGGCTCTGCCCGTGCTCAGAGGCGGGCAGGGCTCCCTCTGTCCTTTGCTGGAGCCACAGGTTCCAGTTACGGCGTGTTGCCCAGCAGTTTGATTAGCCCCCCACTCTTGGGGGGACACACACACGGCACACACACGGCTGCACTTCGCTGCTCGCTCATCCACCAGCCCAGCCTCGGCCCYGGCCCTCTCTGTGCTCCGCAGGTTCCTCTCTCTGTCTGGAAACCGCATCCGCAAAGTGGAAAACCTGCGGCCCCTGCAGCAGCTGCTCTTCCTGGATCTGTCCCAGAACCAGATAGAGACACTGGACCCGGGTAGGGAAGCGGGAACAGACCCAGGCAGGGCCTGGCTCTGCCCCAGAGAGGGTGCTCCGCCTTTCAGCTTCTCCCATGGGTGGATTTTGCCAGGGTGGGAAGGGACGGAGGGATAATCTCCCACTCTCCMGCAGTGTTGCCCGTGCCGCTTGAAGGAGGGGAGGAAGGGCACAGCGCAGGCCAGGGGAAACCCTCGCCCGCCCACTGCGGAACACGCGTCCCCCTCCTCAGCTTCCCCAGCTGTGAAACTAGAGGCTCCCTCCCGGGGCAGGGCTGTTGCCTCGGGAATGTGTGTGCAGAGCTCCGAGAGCGCAGCGCTTTGCGGCACTTGCAGCTCAGTGCAGCAGGTGGGGCTTGGGCCCCTCCTTCCTTCCCTTTGATCTGTGCAGATGAGCTGCCCCGGAGCCTCCGTCTGCTCGACTTGACAGGAAACAAATGCACCCACCAGGACGGGTACAGGTGGGTCGCTCCGCACGGCCCCGGGCGCGCGAGCTGCTCCGCAACGTCCCACCCTTGGCCTCCCCGCGGTACCAAACACACCAAAACCAAGCCAGGCCCTCAGCCAGCCCCAGAACACCTCAGCCCGGATCTCTGCCCTCAGAGTGGGAATTGCAGGCAGCAGTGCCCCCCTCCTGTGCCCCATGCCCAGAGGCAATTCCAGGGGACGGGAATATCGCCCATTTTTTCGGTGCTTGCAGAGAGACGGTGCTGGGGGCCCTGCCCCGACTGCTGCAGCTGGATGCCCAGCCCGTCCCGGGCTGCCCRGAGCCTGCCCCGCTCGAGGGAGAGGAGCAAGGCAGTTCCTCCGGCAGTGAGGACGAAGAGCACGAGCCCCTCTGTGAGCCCAGCGGCGCTTTCACTGCAGGCCAAGGTGCCCAGGCTGAAGCGGGGCGCACTGGCACGGGCTCGTGTGGCCGCGCGGGGCTCTCCTCRCGGTAGCTGCCTCTCCATCGCGGGCAGATTTCTTCGTGGCTCTGCGCCGGGAGCTGGCTGGGCGCTCGCGCAGGAGGCAGAGGGCGGCGCTGGCGGAACACGAAGCCCGCCTGGAGCTGCTGCAGGAGCTGCAGGAGCGTCGGCACCGGCTGCCGCCTCCTGCACCGCCCGGCGCGGGCACCTGCCCAGCCCGGAGCCCCGGCGACCACGGAGCAGCCCTGGCCGCAGGGAGCCCCGGGCAGCCGCAGGGCTGTCCCCACGCGAGGCCAGGGACGCCGCCGTCACCGCCGCCAGCAGCGGGCAGCCAGCAGGGCCTCCCGCAGCCTCCGCGAGGTCCCGGCAGGAGCCCGGGCCGGAGCCAGGCCCCGCAGCGGGACACTCGTGCCACAGCCCGGCCCAGGGCAGCGAAGAAATAGGCAGGGCCCCCCTCCCGCCCGGCTCGGTACCGTGCGCGCCCAATTAAAGCCTCTTTATTTCTACATGGGTCTGTGTGTCTGCCACGGCCCCGGGCTCTGCACCGAGCCCTGGCAGCCTCCGCAGCAGGGCCGGGAAGGGCGGACAGCAAGGGACAGTGCTGGGAAAGGACCTGCCAGGCGCGGAGAGGAGCCGCCTCCTCCTGCGTGACGGGTCCCTCCCCTTCCCCGTGTCCAAGGGTCACAACCACCCCTGGAAGCGCTGATTCCTAYGGGACGAGTGATGGGGCTGGGCGCTCCACGTCCCCGGGCAGGGCCAGGAGACGCCGGCCGAGAYGTTTCCCTCTGTGCCGTTCAGTGCCGAGCTGGGGCAGCCGACGTGCAGCCGGAGGCAAGGGACGGGTCCAGCGCAGAGGGAGGAATGTCCCTCATCTCCTTGTACGTCTCCCAGCTGCAAAGACAGGGAATGAGGAAGGATAGGGAAGGAAGTGATCCCCAGAGGCTGAAAGGGGCCCGGCTCGGCCCTTTCCCCCATCCCGACCCACGTGCACGGCATTCACTTGTAGAACTTCATCTCTGCGTCCACGCAGTCGAAGAAGAGCTCGGCGAGCTCCTCGGGCGCGGGCGCCAGCGTCCCCGCYAGCAGCGCGTGCGCCGCCTCCAGGCCCTGCCGCTCCAAGGCCCGCAGCGTTTCCTGCAGCTTCTGGCCCTGCTCCTGGGGGGGCAGCGGGGCAGAGGAGCTGAGACCTGGCGTTGTCAGGACACGCAACTGCCCCGAACCACCACAGGGAGAGCGTGAGGGCCGGAGCCCTGGGGCGGCCGGGAAAGGCAGCGGGGTGTCCGGTACCGGGTCGCTCTCCATCAGCGCCAGCGCTGCCTCGTGCCGCCGGTAGAGCTGGTGCCGCCGGTCGACTTTGCTCTGGAACCGYGGGATCTTCTTGGCGGGGTCATCGGCAAAGCTGGGGGACATGACCTGGGGCGCGGGCTTGAGGCCGTCCACGAAGACAAAGGGTTTGAACACGGACCTGCAGAGACGGGCAGGGACCATCGGCGCCTGCACGCAGGACGGGCGCGAGGCTGGGTCTGCTCCCCAGGGCTGCTCAGCCTCATCCCCGCTCCCCATCAGCGTCGTGTCTCCCCACGAGCGTCCTCACCTGGAGGGGTCGGGGGTGGCCGTGAAGAAGTGGACGCAGGGCAGCGCAGGGTCCCGGGGCAGCACGGACACCATGCTGCCCGCCGTGCGGAAGCCTTCCGAGTCCACGCAGATCCCGCTCGCCTTGTCCCGCAGGATGCCCATGAAGGTCTCCGCCGTGATCCGGCCTGGCAAGCGGGGCGGGCGGGCGCCGTGAGCACCAGGACGGTCCCCGCTCCCAACGTTGGCTGCYGGGCGCAGGGCACCCAGCTCCGTCCGTGCCCACCTGCGTGCTGCCGCAGCAGCTCCCGCCCCGCGCGGTACCGCGCCTTGGCCGCCTCCATGCGCACGGGCTGCTGCTCCAGGGAGAAGACCTCGGCGAAGCTGAACTCGCCGTCCCCGCTCCACCAACCCTGGCTCCGGGCGCGCTGCCGCAGCCCCGCGTGCTCGGCCGTGATGTCCGTGCCGATGCTGAGCTGGTTGGAGATRTTACGGCTCCCCTCTGCGAAGGACACAGCGCGTGGAGCTGGGGGCAGCTCCCTGCGGAGGGATCGCCTCGGCGGGCAGGAGATGGGCTGAGACCCGGCACGCTCAGCACACGCTGCCGGCCGCGCACCGCCCGCTCACCCGTGATGCGCTGGGCTGCCCAGTACGGGCCGGCCGTCTCGAGCACCCAGGCCTCGGCGCGGTCGGCCAGCAGGAAGGTGTTGTGGTAGCAGAACGGCGCCGGCTCCTCCTTGCAGGGGCCGCCCTGGCCGTGCCGCTCCAGCAAGGCGGCGATCACCCGCACGGCCTCGTGCGCCGAGCGGCTCCGCTCCAGGGCCAGCCTGGCACGCGCAGGGCACCCGGTCGGCGGCGCGGTGCCGCCTGTCCGGGGTGTCCCCGCCGCGGGACGCGTCCCCGCCGCCCTCACCTCACCAGGTCCATGCCCAGCAGCGCCTCCTGCTCGCCCACGGGCTCGCGGGTCCACACGCCCTCGTTGCCCACACAGACACCGTGCTCGTTGGCGCCCATCTCGGCGCCCCACAGCCAGGCCGGGCGGCTCAGCACCACGGCGTGGGTCCGCTCCACCTGCTCGATCTCGATGTACGTGCACTGCGGGCAGGCCGCGGGGCTGAGACCCGGCACGCTCGCTGCATCCAAGGCACGGTGCCCCTCCGCGTGCCCCTCTCACCTGCACTTTGTCCCCAGGCCGGTGGCGCGCGGCGGGCACATACACGACCTCCTGCACCTCGTCGCGCGGCCGGTCGGCGTTCTTGCCGAAGACCACGACGGGCGCCGCGGTGGCGGGCGGCAGGGCCACGAAGCAGTCGCAGGACGAGGGCGCGGGYGCCGCCATCCTAAAACGGGGCACAAAGAGGGGGTCCCGCACGGCGGGTGGCGATGGCAGGCAGGGGGCACGACCTGGGGAATGGCCCCCAAACCCGCGCCCTGTCGCGGCCCCAGTGGCCGGGCAGGAGGGTGGTGGGGCTCGGTATCCGTGTCCCGATCCCCGAGGGGCGCCCGGAGCCTCCCCCCGGCCCGGGCAGCCGGGACTTCCCGGGCTGCGATTCGGGCAGAGGGGCCGGCGGGGACCCCGTCCCGGCGGGGGCGACTTGGGGGACACGTGCCGGTGTCCGGCCCCCCTGTGTGGACTGGGAAAGGGGCAACCCGCCCGCTGGGTCCCGGTGCCGGCCCCGCGCACCTGCCCCTGCGCCGCCGCCGCCGCTCGGTCCCGCCCCGTCCGGCCCGGCCCGGCCCGGCCCGGCGGTGGCGGCGCCCCGTGGCTGGAGGCCGCACGGCGGCACCGGCACCGCCCCCGACACCGGTGGGGCCCGTGGGGCAGGGAGGGAATGGGCACCGAGCAGAGAAAGGCACCGGGACCCCCGTGGGGCAGCGACGGGCACCGGRATCCGCCCCCCGGGGGCCGACACCAAGCACGGACACGGGCCCTGACCCCCCCACACACACACAGATGTCCCCCTTCCAGGCAGGGATGGGTCCTGGGCACCCCAAGGGGTCACGGATGGGGGTCCCACAGGTCCCTCGGCACCAAACGGATTCCACCGTGCCCAGAGGGGCAGCAAAGGGGGCAGGAGGCTCATCCCCAATAGGCCATGGGGAGCATCCCATGGGGCAGAGGCTCCCCCAAGGGCTGCCACAGCCCCATAGCCCCTATAGCAGCCCCCACCCTGCCCCTAGACCCCCATGCCTCCTGGCGGGGTTGCAGGGCACCAAGGTGCCGGCACCAAGGTGCCCGCACACGGTGCTGCACATCCCTGCGGAAGCRGGGGACGGCGGGGAGGGCCGGGCCGCGTGAGTGGGCAGGAGGGAGCAGAGCTGCAATGTTGGCAGCGCAAACACCTCCTCCCTCGCGGGGGTTTGGAAACACGGGGCTGGGGCGGGGGGCCGGGCCCGCAGCCCTTGTGCAACGGCGCCCGGGGCTGCAGACCCCGCGTGTCGGGGTGCCGCGGGGCTCAAGCCGCCGCCGTGTCCCCCCGGCCGGTGCCGCGGGTCCCGGGCCGCGCGGGGCAGGGCGCAGGCGACACCCCGTCTCATCCCCGCACGCGCCAGGGTGTTTTCTCCAGCCGGGCCCTGCTGGCTGCAAACATCCGCGGGTCAGGGAGCCAAGTGAGTCACGYTGCGGCTGGCGAAAACGGCGGCGGCTGGGAGAGGAGGAACGAGACTTTCCCTGGTCATCGGCGCGCCCGGCCCGCCCTAGGGTGCTGCCGGGCCCATGGCTCGCGCGCCCGGTGCCGCTGGGACGCGCGGCCGCCTCAGTTTCCCTGCCGCCTGGACACTCCCTGCCGCGGGCCGGGCGCCAGGGCTGGCGCAGGATGCGGCGCACGTACGGCACCGGGTGCCCCCAGACCCCCGGCCGCTTTTCCAGGGTCACCCGCATGCYGGGGAGCCCCTAGGCCGTGCTGGGGGGCTGGGGGCGCCTGCCAGGACACTGGGTGCCTTTGCAGCCTGCGGACAGGGCTGGGCTGGCGGTTAGAGGGAAGCGGCAATTCCGTGGCAGAGATGGAGACGGAGAGCCRGGGCGTGGAAAACACACGGCGTTTATTCTTACAGTACAAAACACGGCAGGGGAGGGGGAATAAAGAAGGAAAGAAAGAAAAACCACAAAAACACGCAGCAAACGCCCACGAGCCCAGAGCGCCCACCCCCTCCCAGCACAAACGCTCCCGGCGCCGCCTCGACGAGGCGCCCGCGAGCGGCCGGGGGGCGGCAGCGACGGGAGCGGAGCGGCCCGGGCCGCCGAGCGCCGGCCCGCGCGCCACAAAGGATGCGTGGGATGCGCCCCCACACACACCTGGTCCTATACCTGCACAGGTATACATGCCATACCTATACAT